CATTTCTACAAAAGCCCAGTTAAAAAGAGGAGCAAACCACCATCTGTCAAACTGTCTGCTTCCTCCAAGTCTTGTTCTACTGTTGTGAGCACAGCAGTAGGAGCTTCCAAAGGAAAAGTACCGAGCATCAACAGAATCCCCAAACAAATAGCTCAGATGCTCTTATACCACTCTTGACGTAGCCACAGTGATGGTGCTAGGTCAGGTTTTTTGGCTGACAACTCTGATTTCATTTAAATGTATACGTACTTCTGGAGTGAGGCATTTTTCAAAAAGTCCCTCAGGTATGTGCTGTGGTAGGAAGGAGATGAAATGGGTCCTACTGGTGCTGCTCTAGAGCTCTCTAGTGGTGGAGGTGGAAGGTACCTGTAACAGGGAACCCTAACCCTGTTAGTAAGAGACAGAGTGGTCCCTTTAAGTCCAGAAGCTTCCAGTCACAGCCAGCTGGTCAAGTAGGGGTTAAGGCTCAAGCCCTGCCAGCCGGTCAGGTGACAGGAAGAGGAAGGCCAGAACCCTACAAATTGCAAGTGGAGAAGGCCAGAGGGGCAGCAGGGAGGTGGACTTCCAATGACCACGGTGCTGTGGCTGTAGTCTCTGTTGGAAGACTACGCCATGCCCCAAACCATCCTCATGATCATCTAAAGTAAGCAGGCATGTTGCCTCTTACTTATTATCATTTTTCCATTATATGGCCTTAGAAGCCTATGTTTTGTGTTGAATGTTAAGACTGGTGGTTTGGGTGAGGCTATTTGGGAAGGAGGAGGCATCATTGGGGGCCCACTGCAGTGTGGGGACCCCAGTGCCAGAGAGGGCACAGTATTTGGGGGGGTGAGCTGACCCCAGTGCCAGGGAGGGTGCAGGAGCCCGAGTGAGATTTTCTTTTTTTGAGAGCCAGAGCCTGGCAGTCAAACCCTGATTAGTGGGTTGTTTGGTTTTTTTTGACTGACAGGCCTAGCTAGAGAGAAAAGGGGTAGGCCCACAGCAGCCGAGAGCCCAAGATAAAGAGGAATTTACAAATGCCATCTGCAAGGCTTGAGCTGCGGTGTAGGGGAGGAGCGCCCCCTGGCATCGGGGCATACAATGGGCAGCCTCCTTCTTAATTAAACAGCAATTATTTAACAACAAGGCGTGGCAGGAAAGAAGGTGGGTGGTTGGCCCCTAGCCACCAGTAGATGGACCCTGAGCAGGCCCCGCCCCATTGCAGTACTGCTATACAGATGTGCAGCTCACAGGCTATGCAGTTTATGTGAGCTGCTTAAGCTAAAGGGACTCAAACCCTCTGCAGAAGTAGAGTAATTCTTCCAGTGCAAGAGATGCTCATTTTTCTTCTCTCTACCATCCTATCTGCTTTGAAGTTTTTACGGGTTAGAACAGTGGGGCCCGACCATTTTAGCGGGTGTGCTGCAAACTAGCCCAGCACCCTCTTTTTTGAGTGCCACTCTGCTCCCCTTCCTCTGCCTGACCTGCTGCTTTGCTTTCTGCTCCTTGCCCTGTGCTCTGTGCCTGACCTGCTGCTCTGCTTTCTACTTCCTGCCCTATCTGCTATTGTGAGGTGTGTCCCCTCCCGAATCTGCCATGTGCCTAGTACAGAGGCTGTCCATGTCAATTTTGGCACATGTGCTATTTCATGCTTTAAAACTAGCAGGCAGTTATTTTGGGCAGAGGGCCATTTACTGAGTTTTGAGGGCCGCATGACAGGCAGCCTAGGGCAGGTTAATATTAATTTTTCTAAATATTTTTTAGGGGCCCGCAGGCTGGATAGAATGGCCGGGCGGGCCACATCCAGCCCCCGGGCTGCATTTTGCCCCCCACTACTTTAAAAGCCCTTAGAAAGCAGTCAAGGTAATAACAAGCATATTGGTAGGCCTGAACTGAATACACATTTGTTACTTGGGACCCAATTGTGCCTATATCTTTTGTTCCCCCCTATTTGTTGCATACAGCAAAAGACACGACAGAGTAGGCTCCAAAGCCTCTATACTGTTGGGACCAACGCACAGCAAAAGGCTAATATTCTCCCAGTACGGGAAACAACCAGAAGCAGATCTGTCTGAGTCTAGCCAAAACACTCTCGTTCCCAGATGCAGAAACAATTATAAAAGCAGAATCTGAAGCAGCAAAACCTCAAGGATTGAGACTAGGAGAGGATGGACCAATAGCAGCCCAGTCCTAGCTCTGTATTTTGGCATGTTGTGATGTCTGACTAGTCAAGGTCCTTTACGCAGCATCAGGCAGACACAATAGAGGGTGGCTCACTGCTGAATCATCCCGAGAACATTCTGTGCAGCCCAAGCACGCTGGGGAGGTGGGATTCATTAGCTAGAAGGAGTCCAGGGCACAATTAAGACAAGATTATTCTCTGGCTGCCCAAATTCCTTGCCCCTCCCCATGCGGCTTTCCATTTAGCCTAATGAAATGCAGCCTGCTGCAAAAACTTGCTGAGATTAGAAAAACTTTGTTCTTTTAATTAAAAAAAACAAACCACAAACTATTTTCTCTTTGATAAGAATTTTACAACTTTTCTTTGCTGAAATCCAGCACTGGAGTGAACTCTCCATAATGGGAGGAGATGCAGCTGCTCAAATCCCATTATTGCAAAGGTAAAGTTACCATATTTCATAACATGAGGACTTGGAAAACCTACTAGAAGGGGACTGCAGTTCCTTACACTGGACTCATGTACTGGTCTCAATTCTGACCTATGTTCAGTACAGAGGAAAAAGGCTGTACATCTATTTACAGACCCTAACCTTTATAAGCAGTGAGAGCCTCACAAGACTACTTGGCATATGTAAGAGCTGTACCAAGGCTGCTGTAAATGTATATGGGACTGGCCAAGGCCATTTTTACAACAGAAACTACCTGTAGCAGAGAGAAGATTCAGAGGGTGACAGAGGGTTTAATGTGATGCTACATCTGGCCCTATGCCACCCACAAGTTCTCCTTATTGAAAAGGGTTTTCCTACTCTAAAGGACTGAGACTAGTGGCCGCTGCCACTTTTTTGGTAAGGTTCAGCCACAAAGCAGTCAGGAGTATGGGTTTGTTGCATCTCATTTTTCACAGTTTTGGGCATCTGTGCAAAGCAGCATACAGTGCTCAGAAGCACTATGCAATCATGTTGTATAGGAGGAAATGATGACCCCAGATACACATCTGTTTTCAAGTCACTACAAAACTAACTTCCTTCTTCAGTGAAACAGGAAATCAGCTGCAAAGCTGGCACGGTTTATGACCATTGCCATGAGCCCACAGTGTCAGTGAGCAATTTATTACGAGAACGCTGATGCTGAACAGTTGTCAGAGTAGATGGTTACTGGAAGGATCGTGGAGAGCTGCAATGAGCCAAGTGTTCTACTTAATTGTGGAGCTCAGCTCATTTGAAACAGAAGGGCTGTCTACTAATTACCACCAATAGCCAAAGCCCGTTTACTTTTCACAGGCGATGATTTACTGCTTCCATTCAAACTTCCACAAAGACCTGGTCAAACCTGAAAACAAGATTAAGAAACCTAGCATGGAGCTATGAGCCATGGCAGAAAATAGAAAGTTCTGCTCTGAGGCAGGGGTCCTACAGAGCTAATGGTAAGTAAGAATGAGCAGGTTTAGCCCACAGGTTCATTGCCTCACTGATATCGTTCAGGAAAATTAATTTATATATTTTGAAGGAAGGCATTGGAGATAATGCAGCAGCATTTGAGCAAGATATAGCCAGAGAAAGAATCTATAAAGTTTCTTTTTCTGCAAACACAATTTTGCAGCAGCAGAACTATGCTAGCCTATATTCAGGCTTGTACCAGTGGCAGCATTCAAGTCTACTGTGCTTAAGTGGAAGATTAGTTGGAAAGGGAAATTCAGAGCTTTTCAATAAGACATACAGCATGGACCACAATATCAATCCCATAGTATTATTAAGTATATTGCAGGGTTGCTTTGATGCTCCAGCCGTGACAGGTATTGTAGAAACACAGAAGAGCTCGTCATCTAATCAAACAGGAGGCAAGTGGCAAGAGAAAGGAAACATCATTGTCTCCATTTTATGGACATGGAACCGAGATGCAGAAAGACTGACGACTTGTCCGTGGTTACACAAAAGATTGTGACAGAGCTGGGAGTGGGATCAGGACCTGGATAGTCTCAACCTGAGTGTATCTCCCTCCACACAGGGCCATGCTACTTCCCATTGCAGTAGGAGAGAGATGAGAAATGTTCCACATACAATTATTAAAAAAGACACTAACACCTCTATACAATAGTATCTGTAACCTCAGCAGTATCATGAAATGCCTGGTGGTACGGGGAGGTACCAGAGTGCAATTGGAAAAGATGGAAAATTGGAAAAGGGTGCACTGGAAAAGATTGGTACATCAGTTCCAAGGACAGAGGGACTCAAGGAGTTGCTGAAGAGTCCATGCAAATGACTCGTTCCCAAATGTCCGACTGCTCCACATGAGGAGTCTGGTGGTTTTTTGATTACTTCAGCTGCCGTACAGTATATAAAGCAACTGCAAAGGGAAGAAGAAAGCAAGGAAAGTGCACCACCTTCGTCAGTCAAGATTGCAGAGCATGTCACACTGTGTTCCCTCCGTAGGAATGCGGATAGTAAGTGACAGACAGCAAGCCACAAGACAGAGAGACTGGAGAGGTGACCAACTCCTAGAAGTGCCAAAATAGTCTGTAGGGACTGATCCAACTTTGCGCAGCTCTGCTTTATACTGTCGCTACAAACTTGCGCATTATTCCAAGGAAGCACTAACACATCGTCTCGAAGGTCACTACTCTTTTAATTCATTCATCCTTACTTGCTTGGCATGTCCCTTAGTAGCTTCATATCCAGACTCCACCAAAATATAGTTAAGAGATATTTAATTCTTAAAGCCTAGCTGGGTAAAAAGAACAACTTCTCACTCAACAGACCGGTCATTGTTGGGTTTTCAGGTTCACATCTGCTTGCTTCAAACAAAAATTAGTTTGTCCTGAAAATACAACATGGCTAGGAGAGAATGGGAGGAAGTCCATTTCATCTCCTGCTTCATTATCAGGACTGCATGTTAACTTCCAGCCTGCCTTGTTTCTACCACTTCAGAAACTGAGAGCTTTCAAAAGAGCTGCAGCGGATACCTGGCATGCACAACTTTACTAATGACAATTCACGAAGAAGAAAGAAGCCCACTTGATTCACCTGTATGTACTTACTTTGGGTCACACTTCCCTCACCTTTATATGAAGGCTGTGCCAGATCCTCCATTTCAGCAATGGCTGGCATCCTACTGAGCCCCAAGTGTTTGCTGCCATTTGGTCTGCTAGGCTGTGCTTTAAATTATACAAGCTTTTATTCTGCTTTTTTAACCAAGAGACAGGCTACTTATAGATCTTAACCTCTTTCATAAGCCTCACACAGGATGCCTCTAAACAAAGTGTAATTGGTTGAAGCCCTAATTGCATGGGCATTAGAACAGCTGTGTGACATTTCCTAAAATCCTCAGCGGAGGACAGGGTCCATAGCCCAAGATGAATATAAAGGGTCTGGACTATGCTGCCTTAATTTAGTCTTTGCAAAAGAAGCTCAAAGGTAAATGAGGAGAAAAATGAAAAGTTTCTGATCCATCTGCAGAATAGTTTCATTTGATCAGAAGTGAAGGGAAGAAGCAATGCATTTTGATGAAGCTCAAATTGTATTCTCTACCAAGTAATAGAAGATTAAAGCCTCTATCTCTAAAGCTGCACAAGCTCCTTAGGAAGATTATAAATCATTCCCTATCTTTTAACCAATCCCATTTCAGAACTGGCTTTCCCACGAGGACCCTTTGTTTTGATAAGGAGAATCCTCTGCGAAGATTAAAACAAACAGTTTTCTACTGAACCATTCAGAAATGATTTCAACTTCATTTCCCTACTCATTCAGCTGTTCCCTTCATTAATTTTAGAAAATCTTGGTGGTGAAGATCTTAAATCTTTGAGGAATTAATGGCTGTAGGACATATATATATATACACATCATGGCCATACCCACCTGGCCAGCAAACCTTTTGTTCCCCCTTGCTAACTGAAAGGATGCTTTCTAGATGCTGAAACAATTTAACCAAGTTCAAACTTAAAGAAAAAAATCAATGGCAAATTCCATGCAACTAACACCACAGACTTGTCAACATCTGAATCCAAAACTTGGTTAAGGCAAGTTCTCTGCCAGGCACGATAATTATATAAAAAGGGGCTGCTTCTTATGGTTTATAATACAACTTGGCAGGGGGATGGACTGGATGATCCAGTAAATCCTCCTTGCCTCTAATTGCTATGATTCTATTTAGCAACTCGCAGTATAAATAGAAATACTGATGATGCATGAGGTTTCAAACCTGCAATGTAAGGAAGGTGAGATCATCTCTTGCTTAACTCTGAGACCCCAGTTTCCTGATCTGATTATATAGGACTACATGTCAAGAAACAGTGCAATGTGCTACTTCTGTGCAATGTGCTATGCAAAATGTGGCTTGATTTTTCAGCCCTGTGGTTATGGGCAGGGGTGCATCCATGCATGGCTGCACCCCCCAACTGCTTTTGGATTGCTCCACAACAAGGAAACCTCCAGGGATTTTTTAAAGCCCCTCCCTTCCCCTTTCTATTCAAAGGCATGCCACTTCTTTGCCCCTTTCCCCCGCCTGACTTTCCCTGCTGTCCTGGGTGTGAGGAAGCACCTTAGATTCATAGATGTAGGGTTGGAGGGGACCTGAGCAGATCATCAAGTCTGACCCCCTGCTCTGGGCAGGAATGAATACCGGGCTTATATGACCGCTAGTAAGTTTAAGCTCATATGACACCGGCTAGGTAGTTATCAAGCCTCCTTTTAAAGACCCCTAAAGCAGAAGCCAGCACCACTTCCCCTGGAAGCTGGTTCCAGATCCTGGCCACCCTGGTGATCCTGCTTGTCATGCTGGGGGCTGGGCTGGGCTTAGGTGGGGACAGGGACAATAGCAGCAGGGATGGATGGGGATTTCCTTGTCCCCACACCTGCTCTGGGCAGGGTTGGGGAACGACTGTCCTGTGAGGCTGTTGCTACTGTCCATTCCCCAGCTGAACCCAGTCCAGCTGGTTCTGGAGTTAGAATCATAGAAAATGAAGGTTTGAAGGGACCTCTGGAGGCAATCTGGTCCAACCTCCTGCTCAAAACAAGACTATCCCCAACTAGACCATTCCAGCCAGGGTTTTGTTGAGCCTGGCCTTAAAAACCTCCAAGGATTGAGTTTCCACCACCTCTCTAGGTAACCTGTTCCAGTGTTTCACTACCCTCCTAGTGAGAGTGTTTTTCTAATATCTAACCTAAACCTCCCTTGCTGCAACTTGAGATCATTGCTCCTTGTTTTCTCATCTGCCACCACTGAGTCCAGCTCCAGCCTCTTTCGAAAGCACCCGTCAGGTACTTGAAGGCTGCTCTCAAAATTCTTCTTCAGTCTTTTCTTCTGCAAATGAAATAAAGCCTAGGTCCCTCAGCCTCTCCTCAGAAGTCATGTCCCCCAGCCCCTTATCCATTTATGTTGTCCTCCACTGGACTCTCTCCAACTTGTCTACATCCTTTCTGTAGTGGGGGGCCCAAAACACAGTGCTCCAGAAGTGGCCTCACCAGTGCAGAATAGAGGGGAAAAATCACTTCCCTTGATCTGCTGGCAGTGTTGTCCCACCCCAGAGTAGTGGAGAAAGCAGCAGTGGCAGGCAGGGGAGTAGAAGGGAGGGAGAAGAGGGGGATGTGCTTCTCAGCAGGAAGGGGAAGGGAGAGGAGGAAGATTTTCAACTGTTTTAGGGACTTAAAGCCTGCCCACACTTGTGGGGGTGGAGGAGGCTGGGAGAAGGGGGTGCAGCCACCCTTGCAATGTGAGTTGCTGTTCCCAAACTCCACTTCAGGAAATCTTGGATTCATCCCTGATTACAGGAAAGGGAAGAAGAGGATCTTAATGAATAGCTATCTTCTGCCATGAATGTTCAGGACACGTCCGGAGCATGTGCATATGTATAGCACAGCACTTCAGTATCAGACTGAGCGCTGATCAGGAATTTTCCAATGAAGCAGGTTTTCACTAAAAAATTCCAGTATGACAAACTTGAAATGTTTTGCAGACATGTTGGATTCCATGGACATGATCAAACCCCACCCAGTGTCCTGTCATGGCACTGGTAAACTCCTGGGCTTCCAAAGTGTGCACAAGCAGGATTACTCCTGGAATGCAAGCTGTCTTGCAGCCAGGCAGTTCAGGGCTCCTAGGCACTTCACAGTGGTACTGGGAGCCTGGAAACCTTGTGCGCCTGGATCTAGACAAAGCTCAGCTACCAGCTCTGAAACTGTGAAAGCCCTGATAATGCAGGTTGAGTCAGAGCTTTGAGTGTTTTGATCCTCCATGCTTGACCTTATCTTCCAAGACTGCAAAACTGTCTCAAAAAATGGGATTTGCCATTGCAGCATGAAGGTTTTAGACTTCCAAATCCCTTTTCATAGTACTGCCATCCAGCAAGAGGTCACTTTATTTGATATATCTGTGTTTTTGATTGTTCTTCCTGAGGTGTAACACCTTGCATCTATCCCCACTGAACTTCACCCTGTTATCTCTAGCCCAGCTTTCCAATCTGTCGAGATCTTTCTGAATTGCGTTTGCATCCTTTAATGTGTTTGCAGTTTTGTGTCATCTGCAAACTGGCTCAATAGGTTTTCTATGCCAGCATCCAAATCATTAATAAACACGTTGAGCAGCACCAAGCCAGAGATCCATTTGAAACCTCCTGCCACCAACATGGATCCACTAATAACTGTGGTTTCCTCTGGCTATTGAGCCACTTATCTATCCACCTTACTGTATTTTTGTCCAGCCCACATTTCTCCGATGTGTTTATGAGAAGGTTGTGGGGAACCTTGTCAAAAGCCATGATGAAGTCCAGATACATTGTATCTACAGTCTTCCCTTCATCCACCCAAGTAGCTTCTTTGTCGAAGAAGGAGATCAGGTTTGTTTGACCTGATTTGTTTTTCATAAAGTCATGCTTGCTGCTTGTGATCAGCCTTTCCTCATCCAGATGCTTGCAAATGGCCTTCCTTAAGATATGCTCTAGTAACTTCCCAGGTATTGAGATGAGTAGCTAGTCTGTAGTTCCCTGGGACCTCCTTTTTGCCTTTTTAAAGAGGGGCACTACATTGGCCCTTTTCCAGTCCTCTGGTACCTGGCCCATCTCCTATGACTTCATGAAGATCATTGCCAAGGGCTCTGAAATCTCTGTCAGTTCCTTCAGTACCCTGGGATGAAGTTCATCTGGCCCTGCTGACAAATTCATTCAGACCTATCAAAAGCTCTCTGACAGTCTCTTTTGTTATCTCCTCCCTCAACTTGCTCCCTTCCTTATCCAGATAATCCGTATTAGGTATCTGGCTGCAGCTTAATTTTTGTTGTGAAGACCGAGGCAAAGTAGCTGTTGAGTAGCTCTGTCTTCTTTGCATCTTCTGTTAGGAAGCTGCTAGCTGGCTTGTTAATAATAGTAGGCCCACAGCCTCCTTATCCTTCTTTCCTGGCCAACATACTTACAGAACCTCTTCTTCTTGTCCTTAACCTCCTTCACCAGGTGCAGCTTATTCTTTATCTTTTGTCTTCCTAATTTTGTCCCTGCACATTCTTGCTATTTCCTGGTATGCTTCCTTTGTGACTGCCCATTCTTCCATTGCCTCTATCTTTTCTTTTCACATTTGAGGCATTTTAGAAGCTCCTTGTGCAACTGCATTGGTCTCTTGCCATTCTTCTTGTGCTTCCATTGTGTCAGGACAGTCTCTTGTTGGCCTTCCAGTACTGTGCCATTTAGAAGCTCCCAGCCTTCCTGGGTTTATCCTTCAGTTTGTCTTCCCGTGGCACCAGGCCTATCAACTCCTTACATCAGATGGAATTTGCCTTTTTTGAAATCTAGCTTCCTAATGTTGCTGACCTTGTGCTTTCCCCCTCTCAGAATCTAGAAGTCTATGATATCACGATTGCTTCCTCCTAACT